TCAATTAATGAACTGATTCATACAGTAGAATGAGCTTGTCATCGGCCTTGTTAGGAATTCTTGAAAGGAAAGTCAAGTTTCCATGCTCTAATATGATTTACAGTGTAAAAATTGCCGAACTTTAATTGAAATTTATAATTAATAAAAATGAGCTAATATTATACGAGCTAAAGAGAATACATTACTAGTATTATTAATTTATTTCGCATAAATACATGTGCAATATATATTTACACTAAAAATTGAAGCGAGCCAAAACTCGCATTGAGATATTGAATCGATATCCCATAGAAACAGATGAAAGAACAGCCAACTTTATCATTAATTGAAATCAAAATATATTTTTGCAGCACCAACGAATGAATTCAAGATCAATATAATTTTAGAAATTCATCTAAAGATTGATATCACTAGGATTAAGTGATCTGAATCTGAGTATAAAGTATAGTTTAATCATCATACATGATATGGCAAATGTAGCTTAAGCTATCTAAGGCTTAATCCATATTGAAAAAAGAAAATAGGTGTTGCCTATGTTTGATAGTGTAAAATAGGTTCAAACATATTCCTAAAGCTAATCAAAGAAGTGAGATAAATTTGATTAGAAATCTAAAAAGTAGGATAAATAATGTTACTAGTTGAAGATAATAAGGCAGCTGTAGAACTAGAGAGTAAAGTCGCTTGTTGAATTGAAAATCGACTGGCTGCTGGCTTCAGAGAAGCAAAGTCAGATGCGGCGCTTGAACCATCAGCATTCATAGCAAATTCTGTAGACTTAATAAGCCCCGGGGCTCTTTCATCCAAAGTTGTCAAGAGGAGATCATTGGTCGGCAATGAGGTAGTAACTGTCGTCGATAGAGGCTTCGCAGTTTCACTAGAAATTAATGGCTGGTCAACAAGCTCAAGAGAGTGGATGGGGCGAGACGATCCACCGATTGGCTGAAGAAGTGCGGTACTTGAAACAGCCTTCTCAGCACAAGCACTAGCAAAGCGTGAGACTGCTTCAGCTGCAGCGTTGGCAGGAGCAGGCACAGAAATGGTGCTAATTCCTTTAGAAATAAGCAAAGAAGAATGACAAAACATAAATGAAGAAAATCTGGCGTATTTAAGTCTGTTAATAATTTCATGTAACTGGACTTTTCATTAGGAAGGCCTCACCGGAAGCCAAAGGACAATTTCCATTAGTTTTTGACTGTTATGCCAAGGCATAACTTGGCCTAATTGATAATAATATATCTTTACTGAGAAAATTTCTTTGCCAAAGATGGACAAGCTAAGACCTTTACTCATGTCCTAATTCTGTCTTCATGCCCTCTTTCTAAAAAAATAGGCAAACAAGTGATAAAATGGGAGATAAAAAAGGCTTAAGAAACCC